AATCGTTTTATAAAACTCGAGAATCGTTTTATAAAACTCGAGAATCGTTTTATAAAACTCGAGAATCGTTTTATAAAACTCGAGAATCGTTTTATAAAACTCGAGAATCGTTTTATAAAACTCGAGAATCGTTTTATAAAACTCGAGAGTCGTTTTATAAAACTCGAGAATCGTTTTATAAAACTCGAGAATCGTTTTACGAAATCGCAAAAAACCGAAAAAGCCGTAAACGCAAACTAGTTACGACTAGTTCGCCCATCGGTGAACTAAGCCGGGCCCGGCTTAGTTCGCCGATGGGCGAACTAAGGACACTCCACTAGTTCGCCCATCGGCGAACTAAGCCGGTCCCGGCTTAGTTCGCCGATGGGCGAACTAGGGACACTCCTCTAGTTCGCCCATCGGCGAACTAAAAATCATCCCACTAGTTCGCCCATTGGCGAACTAAAAACTTCTCGGACATCCCGCGCCTCGATTTCCCACATCCCCGATTCAAAACTTACGTCTTTCGACACGATCGCATTTTAAACTACGGCTAAAACGTCTCTCGTTCCGTCTCGATCCGACTTACCGTTCGAGTTTTACGATAAAAACCGTAAAACTTCGTTTTCTCAGAAAGAACTCGAGGAAATCGTATAAAACGGCAACGGTTAAACGAAACACCGAACATTGCCTAAACGATACGATTTATTCGATATTTCTCGTTAAATTGTAAAAACGCGCTTTTTAATAAAAACGCCGAGTAAGTCGTAAAAAACGTGTTTTTAATAACAAGTCGAGTAAACCGTAAAAATTCACGATTAACTCGAGTAATTTATTAAAAACGACGTCAGATCAGGAAACGATCCCGTATAAAGTCGGAAAACGGTTTTTATCGCAAAACGGCCCGGAATGACCTAAAACGCGATAAAAACCCATCTCGCGATTTCAATGGATTCTAACCCGCAGATTTGATAACGTTTTGACAGTTTACTCGCAGAAGGGAATAAAGGCAAGTTTGAAGATAAATAGAAGATTTCCGCGGAAGAAAAGGAAGGATCGAGAAAAATGGAAGAGGGGGACGAATTTCAGAGCTCTCATCTGAGACTTTTACAAACTTTTCTACACTTAGAATTTTCCGCACTTAAAAACTTAGGCTTTTTCTCGACAAGTTCGGTTTCTATGACTGGCGCTCAATTACTAGACGAACTCGCCCAGGCAGTTCGATCTCTTGTCCAGCTCTATCAACTGAACTACGTTCGACTTGATCCCTGAAAGGGGTACGTAGGCAGCCTTTCATAAGGTTCAGTCCGAAATCATTCAAACCTTTTTTCCTATCTTTTTCCGTTTTTCGTTATCAAGCTGCGACTCGACTAGATCTAGGGTTTTATGTTTATAACTCGCTGATGGCCCCTGCGGCCAAAGCCTTTGTAATTCCTTGTAATGATCGCAACGCTCTTACGCGAATCGGAGATAAGATCGACTTTCTTTATAAATTCGTTTTATTATGTTTTTCATATTTTTCCGCATTTATTTGGTTACTTGTCGTTGGCTTTCGCAGAGATCCGGTTCCTCTGGAAAATTAGGGTTTTCCTAAGTTTCCTTATTTAACGGAAATCGACAAGTGTGAATTTCGGTTCCCACATTCGGCCAGAGATTGTTTCCTCTACCGTTTTGAAGTTTGATCTGCCATTCGTGGAGAACAGTTTTTGGTAGAAGTCTACAAAAACTTCTCCAATTTCCTCCTCTTCATGGACTGGTGCTCCCTCCGTATTATCAATAACTGTGATCATGTTGCGTGCCTTGCGGCCTTTCGTCACAGCATGGAAGAACGCGCTGTTACGGTCTCCTTCTTGCAGCCACATAATTCTACTTCTTTGCTTCCAGAATAGCTCTTCTGCTTTGTACGCTATGTTGAGAGCTTCTGTGATTGCTGCTATCTTGCTCGCATCCGGGGAAGCAGCAGAAAGTTCCTCTTCCAGCTCTGCTTGTTTCTGTAATACATCCCTTGCTATGATCTCCTTCTTCTCTCTGTACCAACTGATTATTTCTTGTCTGCATCTTGAGATTTTGAAATCAACGTTCTCCTCCAATCCTTGTCTCCAAGCTACTTCAATGATCTTTCTTGCTTCTTCTATCTCATTTAATCTCCTATCATATCTAAAGGGGGTTTTCTTTTTTATCTTGTGCGCTTCTAGATAGGTTAACAAAGGTCTATGATCCGAGCCTTCGTATCTGAGGTAGCTGCAGCTTCCAGAAGGGAATGTGTCAAACCACTCTACATTCGCTAGAGTGCGGTCTAGTCTTGATTTGATGTCGTGGGTGTGTCGCTTTCCTCTCCATGATAGCTGGTTTCCTGTGTATTTCACGTCCCATAGCCCATTGTTAGAGACAAAACTTCGAAAAGGAATGAATGAGCCTTCACATCTTTTTGGTCCTCCTGATTTCTCCGAGTTATCCATAATATCATTGAAGTCTCCTGTTAATGCCCAAGCTTCACTTCTTCCTAGTCCCATTACTGAGATTTCCTCCCAAAACACTGCTCGATTTTTCTGTTGTGGGGCACCATAGATGAAAGTCATGTAGAGAGCCTTTCCTTTATAGTTTATCTTTGTATCGATGTAGTTGGAGGTTGAGTTGAGCACAGTAAGATCAATGTCATTTTTCCACACCAGTGCTAGGCCACCACTAAGACCTTCCGGAGGAATAATACAATGATTCTCATAATCTGGAGAAATCAGTTTGGAAAGTACATAGTCTGTTTGATTCTTTGTCTCCATTAAGTACAAAATATCCGGGGCATGAACACGTTCAGCTCCCAAAGTCTTGGAACTGTCAATTTACCTTCCAATCCTTGACAGTTCCAGCTCAACACAGCTAAGGAATCTGGTCTGGTGGGTTTTGAAAATCCACCTTTTCTCTACTTGTGCCTCCTCTGCTTGTTCCCGCTTTTTTCCCTCCATCCTTATCCAAAGGTAAAACTTGAATTTTATCCACACATAACTTCTTACGGGCTGGTGGTCTTACTCTCGCAGCTAGTTGCTTAGATGCTTTAGCTCCTTGAAGTGGGCTTCTCAAACCTCTCGATCTAGTCGTCCCCGTTACTCTTGCATTTGGTTTGCGCTGGGTAGTTTGTTTAGCTTGATTTCCTTTTTTTGCTGAAGATTTAGGGGGATTTTTCCTCTTACCAGTGTTTGAGAAAGAACCCAAGCGGAGGGTAGCTGGAGTTCTTGAAGTCTCCTGTTGAGTTACTGCTTGTGTGGTGCTCGGAGGTCTACGCGATGATCCTTCACCTAGAAGAGGACTCTCATATTCTTCATTCTCGTATTGAACCGCAACATCTTGCAGCCTAGCCAGAATGGAGCTTGACAGTCCCGTTTGTCCAGCTTGCTCCGTATGAGGTGCTTCAATTCTCTCTAAGGCTGAGATACGCTCTGCAGATGGATTTAGCTCTTCTCTAGGAATTGCCAGTCTTTCCTTAGCTGGGATTCTTCCTGATGAGAGGTTGGTTCCTTCTTCTAATCTTTCCAGGGTTGAGACGCGATCTTTCGATCTACTATTCACCTCTACAGTATCCCTATTTCCAGGTAATGCCATCTCTTCTCTAAAAGGTTGCGGTGGGGGTGTTCTTGAGCTTTGAGTTCTATAGCTCGCTGGCTGATGTCGGTGGTCCTCCCTGCTCCTGTGAGAAAGAGGAAGATCTCTAGATGACTTCCTGAGAGGGGAGGGGTGCCTCTGAGATGGATAGCTGTGTTGGGAGGAGATCTCTCTTGCTGGATATTTATCTCTATCCCTCCTTCGATCCTCATACACTCCTTGCTCTCTCCCCCCTGGAGTCAAAAGATCTTGCTCTATCTGAGTGAGGATATCTCTCTCTTCCGGGATCTTGAAGTCTCGTGTACACAGACTTGTGACTGACTCCTTGGTCTCTGGAGTCATGTCTTCTTTCTCTAGATGTGAGGGCTTCATCTCTCCTCATATCATGTCTCCGATGGTGTTCTTCTAGTTTCCTCAGCGTGTTTTGCTGGCTGATTCCTTGTGAGACAACTGGAGTCTTGGAGGTTTCCGAACTTTTTGGGCAGTTTTCTTTTTCATGGCATAGAGAGAAGCATATAAAGCAATGCTTTTCGAGTTTTTCATACTCCAAATCCACCGATATAATTTCCCCAGAGGGTAATTCGAGAGGTAACCTCATTTCTAGGTTCTTCAATCCATCAATTCGGATTCTGATTCTCCCATGCTCCGCATCTTTGTCTAGTACTGGCCCTAGCTCCTTTCCAATAGCTTCTAGTGCTGTATCTGTCCAAAAGTGAAGAGGGAGTCCGTGGAATCTAATCCAGAAGTCAATTTTTCTTGGGAAAGAGTTGGAGATCACAAGTTCCCATCTTTGAAGAAGGATCATCCATCTTTTGTAATGGTAGGGTCCTTTTCTCAAGACTGTTTGGAGAGCCGCTTCAGAGGTGAACCGGATTTGGAAGAGTTCCGGACCCAACTCCCTTCCTGTAAGCTCTCCCTCAACTCCCCAATACTGTAAGAACCATTCAACCACCCATTGCGTCTTTTGGGTTGATGGGTTAGTGACCCTACCCAGGAGAGTGAGTTTGTTTTCCTCGATTAAAGCAGAGTTGTCGATTTGTGGAATCTGAATCGGCCGTCGTCTCTCTGTTCTTGCTGCATCCGAAGCCCATTTTCCTTTCTCTGCTCTTGAGTATTTATGCGCCATACTCTTGATTCTGTCGTGAACTATCTTAGCCTTGCAATAGAGTCTTTATCAATCCTCAAAAGGAGGTAAGTTTGTAACTTTGCCCCACGTAGTCTAAGGAGAGACTTGTAGCCTTATAACCTACGGAGAATTTGAAGCCTTACTTTCTCTCAGATCAAACCAGCAACATTAAGTATTAGGGTCTCTTCTGCTGTCTTCTTTGGGGAGGAGGGGTTGCTTCGGATTGGGGAGGACAGCAGTAGAATCACCATTACTAGATCTACTGATTGATCGGAGTAGAAAAAGATTTGCCCATTTTTAGGTCGTCGGAGAGATGTCGGTGCGGCAGGAATCTTCTCTTATACGGATGTTGACAGCTGAAGAACGGTGGAGCTTTTGAAATTTTAAATTATAGGTCATACATCGGTAATCGTGCTTGAGGAGCCTTTCTCGCTATCTTTGAGTGATAATTTGTGAACGTTATATTTGGAAAGGTTCAATTTTTAGAAAAAAGAGGTTGGTACCATTGTATCCAAAACTAGAATCATTTTTTATGGACAATGAAATGTGGATTTAACATTCAACATACCAGCGTTTGGAACAAATTGTAAGGATATAATTTCGATAATTCAAAACTGAAGAACGTGACCCAACTTCTTGATAAACTTAAAAGAGTTAACAATACAAAAAAAATTGGATTCTTTGTCACAATTGATTACCATCCTTAATAAAAACTAGATTTTGATCCGCACATTCGGGTGGATATTTTTTTATTTTATAAATATAAAATTTTAATGTTATTATAAATGTTTTAGATATACATATTTTTATATTAGTGTTACATATTGTAAAAGACTCTTTTGTTTAAATAATATAGACATATTATTTTAGTATTTTGTATACATAGTAGTATCTATAATATTATTTTAGTAAATTTTATTGATGTAGAATAGTTTTTGGATATTATGATTTTAAGATTTTTGTAATAAATTAAGATTTCAAAATATATGATTTATTTAATTTTTACAGCATTAGTTTGTTTTTCGTGTTACATTTCAAGAAGTTATTCTTTATTCTCTATGATTCTATCTTTTGCAAAATTCAAATTGTTTATTTTGTCAAAAACAATTCGGAAAATTACAAAATTATTTTTGAGTTGGAAGATTATATGATTTTTAAATTTTTTTACTACAAAAATACATTATTTTATAAAAATAGTTTTAATTTTTGGTAACAGTTTTTATATATTTCTCAACAGATTTTTTTACAACTGATATAAATATTAAATTTAAAATTAAAATTTGTTTATTCATTAATAATTTAAATTAATCACTAAAATTTCATAGTTGTACAATAACATATTATTAAATAGTATATGAACTAAAAGTTAGTTATAAACTATTATATTTTTGTTTATTTTTAAACAAAATACGGTCGGAAATTTTAAATAAATAAAAATAAAATATGTATTTATAGATATAAAAATATCAGATACGTTAATTTTATATAGTTTATGAATTTAACACATATTAATGATGAATGATAAAATTTACTTAATTGGAAATATTTTAAAATGAAAATAGATCAATTTAATTATTTAATATAATTTTATCATATTTAATTCATATAGACTTTGTATGTTTAAAAAATTAAAAATAGTACATAATTTTTGTTTTCTTGTTTTATAATAAAATTTTAATTAAAATTTATTTATAAAATTTTATTTCTAATTACGATATTACTTGTGGATTAATTTTATAAAAATATTCTAAGAATTAGTAGGATTTTGTTTAGATTTTTTTGTCAACAGAATTTATTACAAATAAACATCAAATTCAAATTTATAGTTGGTTTACTATTAATCTAAATAATCAAATATGTCATATTAACTAAATTTTTAGGTGGTCTACGTATGACTTGTTATCAATATAAAAATAGAACTCTAAATTAATAAATTATAATTTAATATATTTTGAGAGTTTTAAAATAAATAAAAATATAAAATTTAGTTGTAGATATTAATGTTTAACCTATGTTAATAAATTCATTTTCTGTATAAAAATATTATATATTTAGAAATTTTAACACATATTCAAGATGAATGATATTTATTTAAATGGTCTTGTCAACAGTAGATAAAAATAAGACTATGTTTTAATAGATTAGATTCATCAGCAGATTGATTAAGTAAAACATCTAAAACATTTCATAGAAATAAGTATCTTGTTAGCTATTATATTCTGGTGTGGTCATTTAGACTAACTTTAATTTAAATAATATAGTAGTTTCGGTGTAAAAGAAACATGTCACATTGTTAGTTATAAGTTATAACTTATAAGTCTTATTCAATCAAAGTTCACCAATAATTGGGGTAGCTATTGTACTCAATTAAAAAATGGTCTATAGCGGATTTGGGATTTGTATTGCTTATCTTTAGTTATAGGTTTTGGCTCTTGAGTTTCGAGTTTTGTCTTATAAGATTTATAGTCATTTTTTTTGGCTAAAAAGTTTTAGTCTTTATATGATTCTCGAATTATGTTCTTTATCTTATATATAAAAGATTATTTTTTTAAGATAGAATTAATATATTTACTTCGAATGGTAGATCAAAAACTAGTAAAATTTTAACTAAAATTCTTAGTTGTGGGGTAACATTTAATGCTCAAATAAAAAAAATAACTGTTGTAAAATTAGTCTAGATTTGGTTTAGATATGTAGGGTCAGTATTTTATTGGAATCATATAATGCTTCCAAAAATCTATTAAATAGTAATTAAATTTATACAGGGTTAGTTGACACCTGTATCTTACTCGTGTAGCCACAATTGACTGTGTCTTATTTCGGTATAATCGAGATTTGATGCAAAAATATAAAGACACGTAATCAGTCTGTCAATAATCTGAACTAAATCAATTGCATGAAAAGGTCATCAATCTGTCATACATTAACTCCCACTATCTATCAACCTCTTAACTAATTTTGTTTCTTTAAGTATTTAGCATCGGGTTCTCAATAGACACACACGCATATATTTAATTTTTAATTTTACAGAAAATTCAGTTCAACAATTCTGCATAAAAATACTTCTAATTAGATTTTATGTAAAGTTAAATTCTCTGAATTAAATACTAATATTAAGAAGAATATTTTCAAAAAAATATTAATGTTAATATATATATCTACACATAAATATACATATATATATGGATATGGAAAATTCCCAATACTACATATTTTTATTGGGGATCTCTTTGATTTTAAATGCATTCATTAAGTTTCTTAACTAATTTTGCTTCTTAGAATACGTTCAATGGGACTATTTCGGATTTAAAATTTCCAAATATATTAAAATAGGTTCTCATATAAATTTTGATTATAAATATATTATTTTTTATCAATTCGTCTTCTAATTTTTATCCACACAAAATTTAATAAACACAACTAATCTTTTGAATTTACAATTTATCATTGTTACTTTAATAAAATTCATTGGAAGGTATGAAATGTATTTTTTGAAACATTTTTTTTCTAAAATATAGATCAAATTTTTTTTTTGCTATCCTAAAATATAGATCAATTTGAAATGGAAAAAGTAGTAGTTTTGGATATATGTACTTGTATTCTAGTTGAGTATAAAACCTCAATTTCCCTTAAAAAGGAACTTGAATCCAAACATAAACTAAATCAAAACCAACTATATAATAAATTTGGGTTTTGTGAAACCGAACGAAAATTTGGACAGACCATCCTACCATCAGGGTTTACATGTTTATTGAAAAAAACTTGACATAAAAAATTTTTAAAAATTAAAAACTAAAGTAGTGATAAAGCAAAGCAGTGTAGTAAAACCAAAGCAGGCAACTCAACCCCAATTTCCCTTAAAAAGTAACTTGAA